ATTTTCCTGGCGGCTGGCCTGGTTTAAAAGGAACACTAATTGGATTTTATCATTTTATTCGCCAGAAAATAATTAAAACATTTTTTAACAATATATTATTAATTTGAAAACGGAGTGTATAATTTAAATTATCACATAAATAAAGAGTATATCCTTTGATATTAAGTCATTAAAATTTATTATTTCATTTAATTATTATTCATATTTTTTATTTGAATTGTAAAATAATAAATTCATATTAATTATTATTACTTAGTATTTAAAATGCAATTTTTATAAAGTGAAATGTATAAATTGGTGCATAAATTTTTTTATTTATAATATATTTGGATAGAAAAAAATAGAGAGGAGGGAATGGGAGGAGGAGATCATTTATTGACTAATTAAATTACAATATTTAAAAAATATTATAATTTAATTAGTTAAAAACTTTTTTTTTTCCTTTTCATTCCCTCCATCTAAGCATACTATTAAAGTTGTATTGTGGATATTTGATTATTAAAATAATACAAATAATTTTATTTTTATTTTGAATCATATAATAAAATAAAACTCTCTTTCATTCTCTAAATCATCAACTCACATGATATACAACTCAAACTTTTTAACTCTGATTTTTATTAAAAAAATTTAATTTTGAATTACTTGATCTTTAGCTATGTGTGAACAAATATTATTAGTTTCCTTCTTTCTTGCAAAAACAAATTATAGCGTCATTTAATGATTTAATGTCACCAACAATAGTAATCTCTTTCCGCAAAAATAAGATATTTTAAATTTAAGTCGTATGACATATAAGTGAGATGAAATAAATGATAATTAAAAGAGTTGTTTTTCATTATACAAATTTTTTTATTGCATAGTAGAAAACAATTATCTCTCATCCCTTATTTTACCTCATTCATATGCCATACGACTCAAACTCAAGATCTCTTACTTACAACAAAAGAAGATGATCACTGAACTATTTAAATAATTCATATACAATCTAAAATTTAAAAAAAAAAATTAATGTCATATCAGTATTATTACTAATAACTATCGTTGATAACAAATAATACGAATGAATCATTATTGTCATTTTGTGATGTTTTTAATCCCTTACACACACTTTAAAATTAATATATAAAATTAAAAATTCAAATTTTGACCACATGGTATTAGAGCAACTCGTAGAGGA